CAATCAATTCCATTTTTATATTTTATAAAAAGCCACAATTGTTTTAAATTCATTCAAATTATTATTACTATTGAAAAAAAAAATTGGGAGCATGGAGAGTAACTGAAAGGCTGTCAAATACCCAACAATATTTTCTCTTGACGTAACACGTGATTCCTGGACTATCAATAAGGGTAAAAGTAGTCACTGGAATTCAGCTCGAATTCAGATGGGTATTTTCAGGGTTTCTGAATCGTAACCAGCCCTGAAGAGGGACGACGAGGGTGGCCTCGTATATTGGAGTGGTCTCTTGAAATGTGAATGACGCTGTACTATTGGGAGAAAGTACCAAACGGGGAGGAATCAATCAAGTCAAAGAAAGGGGCGCGCCTGCATTGGTATTTTGTGGAAAAACCTATCGACAATTCCAGGTCCCCAGGGCGTCGAGTCGAGGTTTGAGTGATTGAAAATTCCGTGAGTTTTTTTTTTATTTCCCCACAACTCAATTTTTTTTTCAAGCTCGGCCATGCTTTTTTTACCTCGGGGACACAATGCAACTTTTTCCCCTCTTCATGGGGCAATTAAAAAAAAAGGAGTAATATATAATCTTGTACTTTTTTTATATTTTGGTTTGGCAGTTGAATATCGCTTCGAAATTTATTTGAAATTTATTTTCCACCAGCGACGCGATTCTGTTATTGTCTGGGCAGGTTTATCCGACTTCTTCATGATGTTGGACATTTTTTTTTTCAACTTTAGCTCGTTGTTTTTTTGAGATTCTCGTTTTCCCTTGGCTCTTTATTCCTGACTGGAGTACTCAGCACGCTTTCATCCCCCTCCGTACCCCCGGTGGCAGTTGGGGTTCTTGAAACCCGGGGTCAACACTCCTGTTAACCTCCGGCTGGGGTTTTAATAAAAAAGTTGAAGAGAGCCCACCCTTCACACAGTTATGTCTGCTCGTCACACCAATGGGATGTACCGCTCATTCACCACTACCGTTCAACCCTCCCCCGCCATCTTTAATATCTCATATTTCAGTGGCCCAAGTTCAATCGTTCTTAATAACACTTTATACTCAGGTCGGTAAAAAAAAATTTCATGAGAATTTTAATATTCTGATGAATATTTTAATCTTGCTCACACTCAAGAAAAAAAATTCTAGCTCACAAAGAAAATTAACTCGATACTAAAAATAATCTCTTGTTAATTTGAAAGTTGTGAAATTATTTTTATCAAGAAAATCTTCATTTTCAAATGGAATTTTCCCTGGGAGTAGCTTCTGCGAACCAAAAAGTATCCGGAAGTTTCTCGTGGAGTCGAAATAACAGGGGATTCCCCGCGGGCCGGTACTCCCAACACCCAGAAGCGGAATACTTAAAATTTAAAGCACAAATTTCATATACGAGTTGTACTCCGCCATCCAGCGTCTCTACATGCCCATTTTACATAATACGAAAGTGGCCGGTAATTGCCCACCATAATACTTATGTATACTCTCGATAATTTTCCGGTATGCAGAACGAACGACTTACCAGCAGTTTGCGAGTGCGGAAGTACATGCCGCCGAGGTGCAACTTGAGCGGCTTCAACACTCGGCAATACCAAAGTTATTTGCGTATGCAGAGCACTGGTAAGTTGGGACAAAATGTTTCTTATGTATGTCGAGGTAATGGGTAATCCATACGGTGGCACTTGGCGCTCGTCGAGACTTCTCCAGCTGGTGAACATCACCTTCTGCTGCTCCCAGAACTTGAAAAATCATCTTAAAATTTTATTTCATTCATCCATTACCACGTCCCGCCAACCACTTCCCCAAAATCCGAATGAATAATTGAATTGCCGGTGAATTGATTAAAGAACACCTCCACCCAACATTTACCTTTAATCCCCGGATTGACACAGAGTCGAGGACACTATCAAGACAGATACTCCTGGGAATAGAATTAGAACGACCTCTCCCTCTGGCTAATGGTAATTAATGTTTCACGAGGAGAAAATAAAGGTGAATGGCTGGAGGGAAAGCAGAACGGTGGGAATAATGAAGCATAAAAGGAACGCGACGAGGTGGGACTTGATCAAGTACGAGTGGGGAAACGTTTCGGAAGATTCACTGGGGTTGGCAATGTGGATAGACTGTTCCCCACACTTGGGTATCGCGACTAGCACTTTTAAACAATGAAGCCTGATTGAATCCCACCCCTTTACATCCCTCTCACCCCCATCGACAATTGGAGTTGTACTCTCGGACAATTTCTCGATTCTCAAAGCCAGTTAATGCAAGCGCAGACGTACACATGCAGAGTACAGCTCTAACGATTGTACGTGTCGCAAAAGCTAGCTTTACCATGGTGAACAGGTATAACCTGGACTTGGTCTACTGCCGGAAACGGTATATCTACTTACCAAGTCCCCGGGCATCGTTTATCTCTTCCGGTGGAGTACGATCGCTTCCACCAGCTCCCAATACGATCAGCCAAATCCCAGGGCTGGTGATACCAAATTTCAAGTGTTTTAGGGGATTCTAGGTTGAAGGGAAATGGTTTTTTTTTCTTTGGGGTTATCTATGGATGAAGACATGATTTAGGGATTTGGGAATTAGACGTGATTTCGGTGGCGATTTCGGGAGAGATGTGGAAATATGGAGAAATATCGCGATAAATTATTGAGGTATGGAAAATTGGAGAATTAAAAATGTTCTCGCTACAGTGGAGTGTATTTTTCATTTGAACGCCGGGTAAAACACGGCTGGTTTGATATTTTATTTGTCATGGTGCAACGCTTTTTCTAATTGAATTTGATCCATATGATGAGTGATGGTGGAAAATATTTCATAAGAGAAAGAAGAAAAAAGCCAGTGGATTTCAATCAAGTTCAGTGGCCTGATTCAATTGAAAATCCCCCCGATTTCCCATGAAAGCTAAACCGATAGTACCATATACACACAAAAAGTCTCGTACATAGTGGAGTAGTTCCAGTGGTGAATGAAGAGGGAGGGGGCAAAAAGCATAAATGCTGGACGCGTTCCAGTTGATTGAAATTTATGTTTTAATTCATACTCGAACGGTGTGGTCGCACAAACAACGGGATGGGGGTGGGTGAACACACCGTTTGGCCATTGGCCGTGTGGGCTTGGGGGGTCATTTCGCTTTCTCTGTTTGCTGTTAATTTACAGTGACGCACCATGGGCGGTTGCGTCCGTTGCTAATAAATTGCAAAGTGTGAAAGAGGAATTGAACGGTGAGAGAGAGAGGCTCTGGGGATTTTTCCATGATATTTTCACTATTTTTTCGCGATAAGATTGAATTAGAAAAATTTTTAAAAATATTACAATTCAAATCCTGGGAGATAACTCAATCTAGCAATAAAATCGACATCTATTCGTGAATTCGAGCCTCACATTCCACTGGAATAGATGTAAAAAAATGTTTTGATTTCACGAGTCAGCGGAGTTAATGTTTCGTCACCAGGCGGCCGTCATGAAAAACTAGTATTCATCAATCGCAATTTTTCTCCCACCGTTAAAATGTAAAAAGAAAGTGGCGAATGCGAGGTAAAAAACGGGATAACAAATATCTATGGAAATTTTTTTTCCACCGCAAGATGGATGGATTATGTGACAGGTGATGCATCGTGATTTATATTTTCGAATAAAAAAAAAAATAAGTAAAAAAAGGAAAATGAATGAAAAAAAGTGGAGGAGTGGGGAAGAGAAATTTGTCTCTCCGTTCGCAGCTGCATGCATATGCGATATGTTTGTTGTATGAAATTGCTGTACATAGACGTCATACACGTTGAAATATGTGACGGTAGTTTAACGATAAATTTTCATCGAAAACCGGGGGAGCAAAATCTTTGTGGCGTGAAATACGACAGGCCCGTAAACAAATTATATTCAGTGATTCCGTTGTGAGTGAGAACGGGGTGCACTGGGAATCATTGGACTGTTCGACGACAGGGGAAATTGAAAAATGCCCCATTATTTATTCCATCAACGAGTACGGAACAACTTCCAGACATTTTTTTCACAGCCCCTCGAAGTACTTTCGGGCCAGAGTTATTTCACTCAAACGAATTTTATCACGATAAATCAATGGAATATGTAAATCCGGGTAAACACAACTCCATAATTCTACCATTGTTCCCCCGTAACAGCTGAAAAACTTTTATTTATCCCGAGAAAAGCTAGTGTGGCACACACGCGACACCGATAGATCCGTAAAACGTGAGCGAGCTTCTCAAAGAGTTGCCTATTCGCTTGCACAGCAGACTTTGATAAATTGGAAAGTATAAAGGGGTACGTGGTGCAGCAGAGAGTTGAAACGCTTGCTTGTAGTTTTACGCACGTGATACTGAAATAGCGAAATTTCGATAGTGGTGTATAAATTGTTTTTCCATGCCTCCCGCTCTCCTCGCTATGTTTTTTTTTTTTCTCCAACCGCTCAAACGTACAACTCGAAAAATGAACAGGAAATTCACCAAGAGGAATGAATTGATTTGACGATATATCAGATAAAGAATTTCCGAATACCCTGTCAAACTTGGAAATGGGAATGAAGGTGCCAACTGCAGATGAAACTGGTTAATGCATTCACCAGTTTTGCCCACATATGTGAATGTGACATTTTGTCGTTATATGTAATTGCACCATTCAAATTTACCGTGACGTATGACGTATTCGGTAAATGGCTCCCAGGTATGAATACTCCGGGAGTTGATGTACAGTTCATTTCGCCGATTAATGGGTGAATTTTTATTTTCTTCATTTGATAATTACACGACTTTGCGCTTTCGGTGCATCAATCTGGCGCGTTCAATTGAATTCATTTATTCTCGTGCGTGTCTGTAAAGAAAGATAATTCAAAAATTCAATAAAAAACATCAGCGATTCAGGTTCCTCCATTTTTTCTTTAGTAATGAATTATTAGGACTGGTATTCGGATGTCTGAATGAAAAAAATATCAAATTCTTTAGAAAAACATTTACATATTTATATATATAAAATATAATACAATTTGTTACAGTGTAGTTGATAGTGTAGCGTTGGGTTATTCTCCAGTTTTTCATAATCTTTCATTTTCATCGTTGAATATGGCGTGGGCAGGTAGTACGAAGATTTCGAAGAGCTGTCATAAGGACTCGAGGGCGGCGGACAATACATGTAAATGAATAACGCCTAAACGACACATCTTCACATATTTCATCATGTTAACTCGCTTTTATCCTTCAAAATACCTATCTACTTAAATTAATAGGTATTCAAAAGCCTGCCATTGTCTCTGACGATGGATTCTACATAATATTAAAGCTATATACAATTTCTCATTATTATTATTTTCTCTCTATGTACACACATTCTACTCATTCTCCCGCATTCGAGTGAGAGACGTTTGCATCCAATGTTCCTTGAATCCTCTACATACAGTACATACAAAGTCAGTGGCTTTTCATATATATATATATATTTTTTTTTTCGTTATTTACGTAGAGTAACCACAATACCAATCGACGAGTTTATTTCCTCTCAATACACTGTTTTCATTCCTGGAAAATATCGATGGTACTTGAAAACCAACAGTCAACCACCAGTCAATGGCAGTCCTCGAAAAAAAAAGCTTTATTTATAGGGATTTTTTTCTCTATCAGTTACCGGGTCAAGTGGATTGATATTGTGGTTAAACTACGATTTACACTCATTGTTTGAGAATAACTAACATACACATGATGCAAGATCGTCAAATATAAATCCGTGATATTTTCCACTCTGAAATTCCTCTCAAATCTACCTAACATCATTTTATTTTCCATTTAATATTTCGCGAGAATAACGCGCCTCATATTTTGCTGATTGTTCTGATACATATCACCGGCAGTTTCACATTTTAATTTTTTTTACTCAAAATAATCCCTTCCTAGCCTCGCAATAAGGGCATTCCACCTCACGTCGATTTCAATCGGCTTTCGTCGCAAATGCATCGATATCTGTTCATTATCAACTATAATCCTCGCATCTCTCAGTTTTTTCACAAAAAAAAAAAATCTATGTCCTAGGATTATGACTATATCCTGTGGTTAAATAATCCCTCGTGTTTTACGCGACTCATCATTCTGTGTTCTTTTTTTTTTGGAAAATCATAAATGTTACAAATACCAGAATTGAACGTACAGCGGCTATAATTGAGTTTTGCGTTGGTCAAATCGATTGCTAGTTACGCCAAAACGAATCGCTATTAACTGTCCAACTCTCTCCCCCCAAAACCTGGAACTTTCAATCCTCACTACAACACCCCCTCCTGCTGCTGCGTGTTTTCGGCCCGTGCACACGGGAAATCGGAAATCCGTGCGGGTTCAGGACGATAACAACGAGTTGATAATTATATTACACGCAGTACTGTCAGCTTTTGATGCGATTTGTCTCGCACCCACATACCAATTCACTTCCCTCTATCCCCCCCATGATTGCTGGATTAAATTCGATGCCCAGAGTATTCGCGACCAGTCGTCAGTAGTCGATTGAATTGTTGAATTTTCTGAAGCCATATCGGCAGTATTGACGGTTTTTTTTTCCCACAGCGATATCGACGACAAACGATTTCCCAATAAAATCTCGTAATCAATTTATATTATTCTTTTACTCTTAATGATTTTTTTGTATTTTTTGTTAATTTATTTTTATTTTTTCGTTAGATAAGTTGGCTGCCCTACGGCACTACACACACAGATCCCTATGACATTTACGAATAATCGTATTAAATTGTAAAATATGTTCTACTGGATTCTTTAGTTATATTGAATTATCGACTACAGAAATCGTTATGTTTTTCTCTCAAATTTCTTTCATTCCATTTTTTTTTTCATCGAGATAAATTAATTTGTCATAGTTTCAGGTATAGAATTCAGTAGTGAAATCGCAGATGTGAATTATCATTTTGACAATGTTAATGTATCCGTGTTGTTTTGGCTGGTCCTAACGTTGAAAAAGTTGGTGGATGCTAAGAAAATGAAAGAAAAAAAAAATTACATCTGCCAGACTAGAATACTCGCTGGCCATTTTATTCTCTTTGTGTTTTTCTCGTTTTTTTTTATTCACTGTTATTTCCGTTCTTGTCGTCCAAATCGTTAAAAGCTCATTACTACAGGCGCAAAGCCTTTGGTTAAACAGGGAGTACTTGAACGTAAAAAACTGAATAAGGAAAAATAAAGGTAAATCTAGTTGCGCTGGGGGATTCGCTAAAGAGAAATCGATTTTCAGGAATAATTCAGCCACGAAATATTGTGCGCGAAGGGATTCATCCACAAATTGTGCTTTTATCTGTGTGTACAGATGCGAATAGATATTTAATTTGTCTGTCGATGGAGGATAACAGAGTAATATGGACGAGTTTAACTCGAATAACCAAGTGAAACTGATAATTGAAAATAATAATTTAACGCCCAAAGGAATGACTCTACACAAGAATCATCAAATAAAAAAATAAATAATTGTTCACGCCATTCATATCCCCACTCGTCACTGGTATAACCAGAAATAATTATATAATTTCATATAGAATAAGCTGTACAAAATGTTACAAAAATGGTGGTACAAGTGTGGGTCAAGTTACGGTACCCAGATAAAAGGGGGAATCCCATTGATGTTTTTTGGAACAAAACGAGTAATCGACAGTGATAATCCACCCCATTATCCGTCCAATAAATCCCACAAATCGACCCATACTTGTGCATACCTCTCAAAAAAAAAACACGATATCGATAATAATCTAATTAACAAAATATACAAAATTTGCGCAGGGAGCCGTGCAAGGGACGATATCGTTTTGAAAAACCCGTGTTATAAACTTGTCTCGCCGAGTCAGCGCGATACCGGCCATTTAAAAGCAATAGAAATGGCCGAGCTGTGCTTGCGTGTATTTAAACCACGAAAAACGAACAGCTAAAACGTGATAGTGATTTACTATTTAATATAAATACCCTCTAATATTTTTCACGTGAGATATTCACCATTTGCATTAACCATCGGCCCCGCCGAATCCCTGACCGCGCATAAACAGCCAACATTTACCTCCACTCCACACTCAATCATTCTCAAAATTACCGTCGAAGCTATAAAAATTCTACCTTGCAACAAGGTAACTTACCGATAAATCGTATAATACTCCTCCACTTGAAAAAGTGGATGAAAGTCTCAACAAGAAATTTCAAATTAAATAGTCATCTGCATTGGCGCAAAATAAAATATTCAAATCGAGAGATATTCAACGTCCCCGTATTCCCGACGGACTGTAAACGTCGAATGAGAGCGGCCAAGAAATATAAAGCGTACGTGTTAAATACGTCATAACATATTCACAACTTACACCACTTGTTTTCAGCCACGATCTCATTATTTAGGATGTACGCATTTAAATTAGCGTGATAGATTGCACATGAGCCCGCGTGGAGGAAATTTGTCACACAATTCATATATTTTTTTTGTTTTTTTTTCCGCAATTTTCCATCCCTTTCCCTCCATATTATATCGCAACACCAGACAACACAGTGTTTTGTGCACTCAACAGTCACTTCCCTCACGAACACATTTATAATGTTCATCTGAATGCTGCGACAATGATAGCGAGTACAAGAACAACTGGCGCTCTCGTAACACCGGAACTTCCGGCAACGGGACCCTCACTACTACGTGACACTTTGCTACGTACCAATTGGCCCCTCTCAACGGCATTAGCCTCATCACTGTCTGGATCAACTGGTGCAGGAAGATCACCATCCTCACCGAACAAACGCGATAACTTATTTCGCGGTGTTTTTTTAGCACATGGCATCATTGTTTCCTTGTACGGGCGCAATATACGTGGATAATGAGCTTCCTGTACATCGGTATTAGGGAGAAGTTCACCTTTTCGATTCCAACAGAGTGGCTTAAACGTACCACGATGAGTTGCCTCTTGAAAACTTTGGAAACTCGTCTCCCAGTTGTAACGCATCAATCGCTCTTCTAGGGTCATCCCAGCTAGATCCGCCGGTGCTTCTATTATAACCGGAGTTGCTCCCCTGAAAATATATTCAATAATTTATTACGGAATTCATTAATTACTCCCATTATGGGGATTATCCCAATTATAGTACATCGGAGGATCGTAAACTGAATTTTTTCATAGAAAATTCCAACACGAGTGAAATTTATTCATTTATTTATTTTTATTTTTTCCGAAAGATACGCGAAAAAATAAATAGAGTAATTGTGCCACCATAACGGGATTCTACTGTATATCAGGAGAATACCCAATTACTGTTATAAGCAGTAATTAATTTTCAACTCTTTATATTCATAAAACAGCGTCAGTTAATGGCATTATGCTTTGATGAAAACTCGGAGGTGGTCCTCGTTTAATAACACTTGAATGACAATCAACAGGGTTATATTGGCCTGACCCAGTTGCTCCAATCAACGTTACGCTTCTGTATTAGCTAGCCGGGAGGGTCGTTAACAGGCAATATACAATGAACGTGAGAGACACTGGGGTGTCGCTTTCCCCTCCTTGTCACAGATTTTGTTCATCTTGTAACGAATATTCAGTTAATAACGTCCTCTAATTTATTTATTCCTCTCTTTCCTCAAAATCCCTCCCCTCGAGTGGCGTGACTGTGTCATTATTGATTTGCCCTCTTGCTTGTTTGACGCGTCTTTCATTTCCGTGATTGTTTTAATGGATAAACGGTTATTTGTCCTTTAAGCCCGTGTTTTTCAATATGGGACTGATTTTTCCCGCGTCCCCGTAGTTTCACCGAAACAATTCGAATATCATTGATATGATAGAAATTAATCAAGTGGACTTACTGCTTGAGCTTCTGAATTCCCAGGCTCTGGAGGACTGTTGGTAATGAGGGTAGTGAGTAGCATAGCGATAGCTCGATCCGTGGATAATACAGTGCTGATACCAGACAGGATTCCTCACGTGTTGTTAGACCACCCAGAGTGATTGTCTGTCTACTCTCGGATGAGTATGTACATTCAGCCACTAGATGATCTCCCTGAAACAGAATTATTAGATGCCTCGATTATTTCACTTTGTTCTCAGCAATTTTATGAGCGCGGAATACTCCACAATTGTTTTCATTGAGCTGACTCCATAATTAGTCAATTAATGAAGACCCAATGAATTTCTTGAGGGCTAGGCCCAGGAGATTCTCATTCCCAGGAGATTCAATCGCAATGAGCAACTAAGTCAGCGAATATTAGAATATTAAAATAAGAATATTAGAGAGGCTGTTTCAAGTTCCTTTGTTGTTTATCCCAAAATTTTTGGAAAAAATTAAAAATCGCTCCACGAGGGCCGAATCTTTCTCATTTCGAATCTACGGTCGATACGGAACTCAGATCTGTTCACTTCTCCCGGGAATTCCCATTATTGCGAGAGTGGTGAATTTTTTTAGAAAATTTTTCAACTGAAAAATTGTCGAAAAATGAAAAAATTGAAAATCGCTCCACGAGGGCCCATTCTTGTTCATTTCGGAACTACGGTCGATACGAAACTCAGATCGGTTGACTTCTTTCGGAAATTCCCATTATTGCGAGAGTGGTGAATTTTTTTAGAAAATTTTTCAAGTGAAAAATTGTCGAAAAATGAAAAAATTGAAAATCGCTCCACGAGGGCCCATTCTTGTTCATTTCGAATCTACGGTCGATACGGAACTCAGATCAGTTCACTTCTTTCGAAAATTCCCATTATTGCGAGAGTGGTGAATTTTTTTAGAAAATTTTTCAAGTGAAAAATTGTCGAAAAATGAAAAAATTGAAAATCGCTCCCCGAGGGCTCATTCTGGTTCATTTCGAATCTACGGTCGATACGCAACTCAGATCTGCTCACTTCTCCCCGAAATTCCTATTATTGCGCGATTGGTGAATTTTTTCTGAAAATTTTTCAAGGTGAATTTTTTCAAAAAATGAAAAAATTAAAAATCACTCCACGAGGGCTAATTCTCCCTCATTTCGGATCTGCGATCGATCCGCAACTCAGATCTGTTCACTTCACCCCGAAATCCCCATTATTGCGAGATTGGTGAGTTTTTAAAAAAATTTTAAATTTTGAAATGGTTAAGTGTGAAAGGAAAGGTCCTACATCCGGAATTCATAAAGGGAAAACTCACCGGATAAACTTTAGCGGGTCGCTGCAATCTCCTGTACTCCTGATAATTCGGATCATAATTGGTATCGGATGCAATCGGTGGAAGTTCCTCACCGGCTCGTATTTGCCTGAGCCTGACCTTTCTACCGAGCTGATGTGTGTGCATTATAACGGCAAACATATTGACCCCGCTCTCAGGGATCGTCTGACCAGTGCAGTCTGTTACACAGTGACCCTCTGAGACAACCTCCCGCTGTCCTGGTGGTATTATGTGACGCCAGTTAGGATCGATGCCAACACTGAGAATACCAGCGTCGTGAGTACGAAGTTGATTGGTGTACACCAGTCTCAATCCTGAACTGTCAGTTATAAAGTTGTCCAGCAAGGGATTCGTGTAGTGCGTCTCCAGCATGTAATAGCGGGGCCCAGAGTCTGGATCAAGGGCGTATCCAGCTTCTGGTGGATAATTGAAGCCCTGAGAACAAAAAAATTAAGACAAATTCGTAAGGTATCGAAGAGGTTGAAAATGATGTGTATGGGTGGGTAGTCTTGCCAGGTGAAGTTTGTTTATTTCTGATGGTCGATCAAAGTGAAATACGATGTATTGGGAAAAGAGGGGAAGAGGATGGAGGGGGTAACGGTAACCACGATCGTACGTGCTTTGGTCTGAAGAACCCGATGACGTCCAGGGGAGAAAGGAGAGGAATTGGAAGGTGAGAGAGGTTGAGTGTATTGGTGACAAAAGCCGTGGCTCTGTGAGAGCACAGACATATCTCCAGCAGCGAGAGAGCTCACGTTTCTGACGACAGAGAAATTGCGGTGGCTTCTGCGGTCGTTGAAGGCGTTTCATTGGTATGCATTAAACGGTCCACAGGATTATTACCAAAAACGGTATACCATCAAAATCGATTGGTTCTATTTGTTTTTCTTATTTTTTTTTTTAACGCTAAGATGGTCTTTAGGGATTCACCATTAATTCTGGTTTGCTTGGCCGATGGTACGGGGAAATGGAGATGACAATTTCAGAGTAGTTTAATTGGTAATTTACCTCAGATCCAAGGTTCCAGGTCGCTGCTATCGAGGTGCAGAGCAGTGATGGATGGTCTGGCTGATAGCACACTGTGCCATTTGATGCGGCTGCCTCCTCCAAGTCGTACTCCTTACCGCGACACTCGTACAGCGTCATGTGATGCAGGTACTGCTGATTACCCGGTTGGATAACTGGCTCATACTGAAAATCATTTCAATGGTAAAAATATAAATGATTTGTAGGATAGTTTGTTATTCTGCTCTGTAACTGGATATAAAGCTATCTGTAGAACAATTCAGAGTTGATTTGATCGCGACGTCCATGCGCTGTGGATCATTCACCAGTATATAGCATTTTTTTTTTTGTACTTTTTTATCAATAAAATTTTATGATCAGACCAGCTACCACCCCCTATCCACCTGCTATATATAAAATTTCCCCTTACGCTCTCGCACACTGTACAACAGGATATCTTAGACCAATTCTCTTTTCTCTTTCATTCGTCCGACAGCCATAGAAACACGATGCAATTCCATTCTGCATTACGGTCACGTACAATCGAGTTCGCGATCCGGGTAGTTGCCGACTTTGGTAACGTAACTGAAACTATACCGGGGGAGTATCAAAACCCTTTCTCCTTTAGTTGGAAGTCAACCCCCCTCGTACTTTTCGCAGAAAGGATCTTTTCAACTTCGACGCCCTACATCGCGACAAAGCTCTCGAGACTTCTGCATTGTGAGAAAATTACCGTTGCAACTCGAAGTTATAAAAAATCGTTGAATTACTAATGAGTACGGTTTAATGTGAAATGATAATTGCCAAATTGCGCGAGTAAAAACAATTTTTTTGAATGACGATTGAATTACAGCTTTACCTTTATGACGTGGTGTTTGCGATCCAACTGAGGCATCTCAACGACTCGGCACCACAGCAGAGTGTCCTGTTCCATCGGTAATTTGACCTGCAATAGAAATTTTATGGGAAAGCGTTAGTTATAGCCTAGGGGAATAAATGGGTACGGAAAAAGATTGAAATGCATATTCAGTTATGCCGGTTTAATGAGCTGCGGAAGTCATTGCGGTAATCGTGAGAATGGATAATCCCGCTGCAATCGAATGAATCGAATAGAAAAAGCCGAGGAAAGAGGAGGACAAGAGAGAAAAAAGATAAATAAGTTGTTGGAAGTATTTTGTTGCATCATTGGTGGCCGCTCTCGTACAAATATCAACGGAGAAGGATCGGTTAACCGTCGTACCCGTCAGTGATACCGTCGCTCAACGAGATGCTCACAGCACCGGAAAACCAAATATCGAAGCGAGGGATTCAATTATCGGTGGCACTCATTTCTCTTTTCCAGTCTGTCTCACCTTCCTATTGCATTCGGATTGAAATGAAAATAAAACATCCAGCGCTTTGTAATTAGAGCATTAAGTTCTCTCATCCGTATCTGCATGGGGCTTTATGCACCAACTTCATCAGTCAAATAATGCACGAAATTATTCAATAACGCTACAACGGAGCTATTTCCGACATAAAACATTAGCATCAAGAATTGCCCCTCGAGGTTATGAATTTTCTTCGCAAGTTTAAAGAGGCCAAGATTAATATTGCCATAATTCTTCTGTTAACTCTTCGGAGCTTTCAGAAGTTAAACTCGAAGAAACTACCAAAAATTCGGAGATACCGCTCATTGTTCCTCAAAATCTTTCAACAGAATTTTCTACTTCTGCATGAATGAATAAATTTACACTTGACTCAATAATCACCTGATTTTCCCATGTAAAATTCAAGAAAGTGACTGCCCCTTTTTTTTCCGCCATCAGAGTTTTTCCAAATTTTTCTCAAATCAGCGTAACAACGCTGGAGAAACTTTTCCACATGAATCACAGTTAAATAGAAAAAAAGCTCCACAGAAGTGAGAAAAATAGAATTCCAACAAGTTTCTGCCGAATTTCTTAGCAATAATTTTCCAAACAATCCGCCAAAACTTCTTCAAATAATGCCAGTACAATCATCTGACTAGTTTGTAAGCCGTATCAGAATGCGATTCACTATCACAAGATTTATGAAGATAATAATGCAGGGGCACGTGACGGTGAAGCGATTCCCGGAATCAAAATGAACAAACAACAATTATACAGTCTCCGGATGTTCGTGATTGTAAATCCCGGTGTTTCATTTATCGAGCCCTCATAAATTCTTTTATACCCACGTACAACTGATTAATCGTTACCAATAAACATTGAGCTCCAGTAGTGTAGTCGATAGGGGTACGACGATTGATTCTGGCAAGAGTTTTAAAATTTTAGCGTAATTCAATTTCAATAGTCATTACCGAGATCGCATTGGAGAGAGAGAGGAGAAAAAAAAAACGTTCAGGTTGTGCTGAATCGCCAGTAGCACAATGCCTCTCGTAAAAGTGATATTACCCAGAGGGGAGAAAAATCAAGAAATAGAGATAAAGAAAATGCCCGACTCCCTTTTTCCTTTATATATTTTTCCTCACCTATTCTCTACCCTTTCAATATCTCCGTTTTCTCTCCCCACTGTTATTGCGTGTTACCCGCAGCGGAATGAGGCGCGTGCAGAGGGCACGTGATACGAGTGTTAAAGTGTGTTTGCCCTCTTGCGAAAAATGAAGAAAAAGATACGAGAAAAATATTTTTACGGAATGCAGGGAAACACATCCGGCATTATTCATTATTAGGATCGATGTGGGATCCACTCGGCATCCAATTGAATAACTCCAACTGAATCAAATGTTGAACAACTTGAAAAATAATATTTCACCTGTTGATTTAACACGTCCCACGTTTTAACTGCGGGTACCTCTTGATTTCGTGAAGTGCGTTTTGGGGGTGAGTCCCTTTGAACGAGGTACAGTGGACGAGAGCCACGAACTGCCCCATGAGGTGGCAATACACCAGCAGCTGACACTGGCTCCTCCACGTGGTACTGCCAGACCACCTGCATCGTATCATTCTGAAATAAAAAAAAAAAATACATAGAGTAAAAAAATCTTCCAACGAAATTCCACACTCCATTCTTTCAATTTATACAATTAATACCATATGAGCCCCATTCTGCTGACTAATTAATAACAAAAAAAAATCAACTAGACAAATCCTCTTGTGTATAGTGTAATAAAACGTTGGCCAACTCCATCCCCAGTGATATTAGAGTGTCTATCTTCAGTACACGTAAAGGGTAAATAAAACCCGAGGAAATCTACGGGTTTCAGGAAATTGGCAAACAGGAGGTTGGATGGGGAAAGAAGCGAGAATCTGGAAATCTCATCGTAGGTTACCCGTGCACTACGGCTATGTGAACAAGTTTATATATATTTGGCATTATTCCAATATCTGGGAGATACTGCATAAGTCATGTGGATAAAGAGAGCACGTTGGATGGGCCCCTCGAGCGCAATCGTGCTGCGGTACAGTAAAATTTCCCCTCCCAACATTTGTATTATTGATCCAACAAGTCATGGATGAATAAGAGATACGGAAGTCCTCCGTTATACCGAGCAACAATTAATACTGGAATAACGAATGTGTTTGTTCAAGTCGCGTGCATGATGGAGTGGACACTGCACCCCAAAAATCATTTATTTAAATGAAAACTGAAATAAAAGTTTCAATTTCATTCGTATCGATGATTTTTCTTGGATCTCGTGTGACACCTGGATCATTCCCAAGGGCTCTAGGGGGTTTTTTTTTTCCAGTGGGGTCAGGAGCCCTCGTTAATGAAGGATAACACAGATGAAAGGGACTGGTGATTATTCGCGTTATTCGCTGGACGCTCGAGCGTTCCCCATCCATTTCCCACGACTCAATGTTATTTCTGAATGTTCCGAGTGTTGAATACATTCGGTACATTTGTATCTAATACCGGGGGTTAGTCCTGCGGCTGCTCGTTATACGCATTCAGCGATTCTTAATGATTACGACCCCAGGGTTAAAGACGAGCTCATTGAATCACGAGACAATAGGCCGTCTGATTGTACGTTCACCAAAATAGAATGATCAATTCTGCGGAGACACCGGCGGTATATCGTGCATGAGCTTTTGAATCACTCGTAATTTTAAAGCAATGTCAGGGGTTCTCGGGTTGGATGGGGTAGTTGGAGACACGTGGAGGTCTTCGTCGTGTCTCCAACACTGTAATTTACAACCCCCAGCGTCTTTACATGTCCCGGGGGGGAATAACGCGGACGAACGAGGGGCGGATAAATGCATTCAACCATAACCTCGTTTGTTACAAGTTCAGACCAATCATGTGTGTGTCATCGTCGGAGTCGTTAGCGATTTATGAATAGCTTAATGCGAATTGCCCCTGTAATTCATGGTTTATCATTAATTGACAGGTGGGAAAAATCGCAGGTTCGAGTCTACACTCAAGCGGAGTTACGAAAAAAAAAAAAATGGATTTTCATTCATGGAGTGCTCTTTATAAATGACCTGGTGAACGATTATTAATGATGACACCTAATCTCAACTGTTAAGTGATAAAAAAGAATGTACCGAGGCTCCATTATCATCAGCTCTTAAAAGCCGTGTGAGGTAAAAGCGCGGACGCGGCGTTAACGATGCGATAATTCGTGGTCCGAATGGGAATCACTAGAGAGCCTCTCTAGTTCGTGGTGTGCACGATAACGGGGCAAAAGTGTCCTGTTACCCGTCGACGAGATGATCGAGGGAAGAGTTTTTGGTGGTAACACTTTTGAATAAATCCTCGGGGTCGAGCATTTGGGTCATTCATTGGTCTATCGTGTCGGACCAGCTCATATCGATTTCGTACCAAACGAGGTGGCCGGAAGGTATTTAAATGCCCGACGGTCATTGGTAATTGACGGCCTCAACATTTACCTGTTCTACTCAAAAAAAAAAAATTTTATGCCAATCCCCAATTTGGTGATCGTTAAAACGAAAAATGATGAATAAGAGGGGAAATTGATTGAAGAAAATTGGTCACCGAAGAAAAGGCTTTCAGCCTCCGGTCTATGATTTTTTCGGACACATTGACAAATACGATCAGTGCAGCCTTCAGGGAGCTGCAGTCCTCCCCCCCCTCCCCCCCCAAATGCAATTATTTCACGAGTCTCCAACAATTACCCGACCTTTGCATGGGGACTGAGGGATAACAGCAGTTGGTCGATGGGTCTTTGGTGCGCTGACCTGAATCTCCTCACGATCAGAACAATTCCAGAAAAAAAAAATTGTGAATTCCGGGTCGCCGAGAACCCTTGGCACAACTGGCAAACAGAATTGGAAACGAAACGCCTCGCAATATCTTTATTTCAAACGAAATTTTCTCCTCTCCAATTTTAAAGAAAATAACAACACCAGTATCCACCGCCAGACAAGAATAGATAGACTCCCTCATTCTCCATTTCTCAACCTGATACTCCATTTCATCGATTTCGTCACGATTTAATTTCCTGAATTTCGTTATCCGACTGTGAAATTCCACGCTGGAGACATTTCCATCTGATACACATTGGAAATGCTATTAGTTGGTTTAACATGATACCAGGGGGTGGAGATTTCAAGTGACTGCTACTGAAATCACCAAGTCCCCATTTACTTCAATTCCTTCCTATTTACTCCAATATTTTCCTCATTTATTTCATTTTATCCAGCTTCCCCCGACTGGTATTCACGATCGTCGAGACCGCCAGTGGGGCTTCTTGCCGTCATTCGTCCTCTCCCTTCATCATTCTCCCAATCGATTAAATAAGTCGAGAAAATTCTCCAACAACCAGCAGTTGGAGAACAATGAAAGCCTCAGCGTCAATCAACGGGATATCCCCATGAAAAAAAAACCAGAAATCGCGGAGGAATCTACGAGCAACGAGAGAAGAAAAAAAGTGATCATGACGATCAACAACCGACTTTACGACTTCTTTGCCACCGTTCAGCATAACCCAAGACAAAACCCATAGCAAACATCATAAAACCATGATAAAAAACGAGCGGACCCTGGAAAACTGGTTCAACATTTCCTAACCGAGTGGTCTCAGCGAAACGTCCGGATGACATTTTCTGGTGGAAATAAAAAAAAATGGAGAAAAAGCCACGGAAGTGGTGGTAGCTCTAGGAGGACTGTTAATTATTGAAGAAAAGATGAAAGGAAAACGTGGCGGTAAAACGGGGGGTGAGAGGAGTTGAGTAAACGGAAGAGGCTGGTTACATCCCAGGAGGCGATGGAAATCGCTATAAAACCAGTGGAAACCCACACGACAGCCGATGTAGTCTACGTAAAACAGAGGGCGACCCTTCCCCTCTATCATGAGTAAGAGAGATCCCACACCCCCTCAACCTAACTCGATAGAGAAAACTAATATTGAACATTCCTAAGTAGAATGTGAAAGTAGTTGTGCACGAGACAAGCAAGCGTTTACTGGGGCATTTTCTCGGTGAGAATAGCAGCCCAAAGTACCGTAAAAGTGAGATGGAAGAGCATCCCAAGTTTTTCGCTTTTAAGAAGCAATTAAAGAAGCGGTATATGCCGACAGCCACTCTCGTTTCTCATTACATCCGGCCAACTTCCAGGGCAATTATCAAGCCAATTTTAACGTTTACATTGCCTCATGGAAATTGTTTTATTTTACTCATGTCACGCGCCATGAAAGTGACACCTGCAACACGAAATCTTGAAATTGAGTGAAATTACCGTTTGCCCTTATTTCAACACTCGCCAAATGAAAAAAAAAAAAAATTATTTGACTCCCCATGCTGAGTGCATGTGAACCATCTTCACAGCTTCGTCAAATTAATTTTACGGATTACAACTTGAGTATCGAGCAATCTCGGAATCTCTCGATAACACGATGAGAGTGTCTGCGAACTGTGGCTTGAGGTTTCACACGGAATAGTGGATATTGGATTTTTAGATGTCTTCGGAGACGATGCAATTTGTACGCTCCCGATGTGTGAGGGGACATAACAGAGTGACGACAGATCAAATATTTAATTTCATTCGCCAGACGGGGAACATAACTCGAATCATTTCACTCTCGACGATCCGCGCTTCGTATAACGAGATTTGAGAACTTTTCGACGGATTGAATCCATGATTGCGCTGTTCACAGGGAAGAGAGGAAGAGGAGGTGCCGGATAAAGAAGTTAATGGGAATGTTGGGTATAGGCAACAGGATAATAAACAGCCCCCATTGTTTATCCCGTTGGTAATGAAAAAGATAATAAACTGCCGAAAAAAGGAGGCGCCCTAATTAAAGCCGTCGAGAGGGTGCGTTTCAATTTAATGAGAGAATAACATTTTTTCTTCTTTTTCTTAATTCTGGGTGATATATATGGTGGAGGACCCAGGGGGTGATAGTTAACCATGGATGGCCTCTTTTCTTGGACACTTTTACCTTTTCTCTCTGTCTTTTTTTTCATCGTCCGGGCGGTGGAGGTACAATCCAGAGATTGGATTGTTCCAAAAGCAAGAGGTCTTCGGGCGTTTCTAACGCAACGGTAAAAATAACTTCTTGGGTAAAATGGAATTCTCCATTACCGGATCTTGGTGGCCGTTTGTGCGGTGTGTGGTGGGAAGGAAGTGGAGAGAATAAAAGCGGTGGAGAGGAGTGAGGTTATCCGGCGAGGGCGTTATCTTAATGGCACTTATTGTCTTGACGTATGGCTTCGCACAAGCTACCCTTCTTTTTAGGGGATGAGGGGGCAAAATGGGACAGTGGTTAACGCCCCGGAGTCTGCGGTGCTCGGGGTTTTCGCGTATTTTTGTATTGGGGTGGGCACTTGATGCTGTTCAGGTGCACTTGGAGGTAAGACGAACGGTCATTTGGCGGCTGAGCTTTTTATTATTATCTGGGGGGTGAATATACACCCCTATTAATCGACGAAGACATCCATGTATGCAATATAAATTTTCTTGTGGTGGTTTATACGCAATTGAAATAATAAACCAGAGAATTATTCCCCGTGAAAAAATATTAATAACTCCCAACTCGGAGAACA